GGAAACACAGAACCAATTCAAACCGAGGCCACCAATGAGTGTATGATACTTTGTATTATGGTAAAACTGTTAGACGCATGCTTCGAATCTGCACGTTGTTAGAAACTAACCACTGTTCCAGCTTTCAAAAAAGACTTCTTTTGGACAAAATGAAGCATTGACAATTTGGTAGGCTGCATAACAATCATTAAGTGTATTGATGGAGTAGTGTTTACTGGATGAAAATTTTTGCTGACGCATTAATTTACCGTATATGTTTCGTGACATTTAAGCGTAACCTGCGAACTACGAAACATCAGACAGAAAAGGAGCATGAATTACATTTTGAATAGACCACAGTGAAATTAAAATTCTGCAAGAAACGACACCAGACTGGCAGTCTAAAAAATTGTCATATGTGTACTACCGCATTTGAGAAGAGTAGTCAGGTGAAGTTGAGCAAGATTGGTTTCGTTGTTTACCTAATCCCGAGTCGTGTACTTCTACATGTAAACCGACGGTCAGTTGATCCATCAAACGCGCGCGTATCTTCATTCCTCCGAAAATTACCAAATATCTTGTATGAGTGCTGGTCCAAAATTAACGCTGAAGGAAAAAGCAGCTGTCGCTGCTCGTAATCTGTAACTTGCGTCTTCTGATGTGAGTATTCGAAATGCAGAACTATACTTTATCATATACTTTGTGGCGCATGAAGTTGTGTTATCAAATTCCTCGGGCAAAAACTCCGTTCAATGTGGGCCTGTTTGCACCGGCAATAACAGTACGATTGTTTGGTTTTCGCCAGGAAACCTTCATTCAAATGAAAATTAAACCCACAGCGACGCTAACGAGAAATGACAAAGCAAACTCATGAAGTAGTGTAGCTCATACCGTAATTTTTTATGCATATGGGTGAAACAATTTCCGGTAAATTAACGATGAAAATCATAGGCAGTTGCTGCTACAATTATATTTTGCTTTGGAACCAACGGTCACTAAAGCTATTAACATGTTCCATAATTGTTGCATAAGAATTTTTTATTTCGTTAAAAATTATCTTGATTTTTTCAACTTTGATTGATAAAGCGCTGTACAACATAGAACTCCTTTTTCGATTGCGGAAAATGTTGTGCACAAAGGCATTTGTCCTGTGCAATAGCTTTTATGTTACGGATATCTATACCGTCGGATAGGTGTATTCTACTTCCTCAGTTAGTGCGGAATACAAATTTTCGGTGAGACCAATAATGTCACATACAAAACACATCAACTAGGCGTGGATGTGCATCCATCCAACATGTAATGAGTGAGGATCGCGGGATTTAATTAATAATAAATATTCCGGAACTCAGTACATATTATGTAGGGTCGTAATGGAACAGTTTTCGTGTTATTAAGCATTTATAAATAAGTATCTTGCAAGGCAAAATAATTTTTATTCTTTCTTGGAAATGGCGCTTGGCCGGAGGGAATTCCTTCGATATTGCAAGTCAAATGGGCTATTGGCAAATCATATAGGTTTGTAGGCTACCGATGATTGATCACATCCAAGACATTCTCAAAGCGATCAATTTCTTTCCAGGAATTGGGCTAGGTCGTCATCTGTCGAAGCATGTAATCTAACATCTATTGTGGTACGCTAAAATTATCAACAGCTTTTTTAGTCGGACGATCACGTTTATTGGGGCGCAGTGTGGTAAGTTGCAACCAGTTGGTAAATGCCCAATCGGTACAAAAGTACCAAAGGCTATGCGAGTAGTATGCCTATTCAGATTTAGTTTAGTGACTTTTGGCTCAGCAGTTCAGTCGTGCATGCGGCAAAGTTTCCCACCAGAGAACAAGTGCAGGTAAGCTGGTCAACAATAGACAGTGAAACGACCAAATTGACCTCAATAAAAACTAGGGTTAACAATTTCAGTGAATTAGACTTTCAGCACAAATAACACGTGCCCTCAAGCGGCATGCATTTCCAAACCCAGATGTTTGTCGATCTTGTGGGCGTCATTGATACTTATGCTTTATTAGCCGGGAACTGAATAACTGATACCAGGCGCCTAACGGAATATTGCAAGGGTCAATCGTGTGCGGATTTTATTTTGAAGATGGGCCAAGATACCTTGAAAAGCTTGATCCACTTGGAATCGCTTCCATAGAACAATGAAGCGGTTACCACATGCATGAGATATTTGCGTTGACAGACGTTCATTTCCATAGACCAATGTAGCTGTTACCACACGCATGAGATATTTGCGTTGACAGACGTTCACGGACGGTGCAGCGGAGTCTTTTGTCATTCAGAATACATTCAAATGCAAGTTTCTTGTGTCATTCAGAATACATTCAAATGCAATTTGAATACTGCTGAGCTCGATGTATCAAATTATTGAGAACAGACTTGTTATGTGGTCATATTTCTGTGATTACTGCTGAGTCCGATGTATCAAATTATTGTGAACAGACTTGTTATGTGGTCATATTTCTGAGTGAATCCCATTCTCGCACACCTCAAGGTCTCCAAAAATCGATTGTTAATTGCAACTTCGTTGTACTTTGTTATTCGCCGCCGAGCCCAGCAAACGGATTCTTTAAGGCAACCGCCCCCCCCCTCCGCGCAATCCTCATCGGTTCCAGGCGTACGTGCAATGAGTAGCATCGACCGGTACCTGAAGCAAACGTAACTACTATTCGTCCTTCCGGGAGTCATCCATCCCGAGGTGCGGCTCTGAACAAGCTTTATTTTCCTGTAGGTAAACCCAATATATCCTCAAACGCTGGCAAGCATGTGACGTAACCTGTTTCCATCAGTAGATAGAATTGTCGACAGCGCGGGTTTCGTCGGAGTGATTGTGGCTTTCAACCCGTTGGCAGTGGACAATTTTTGGGACCATACACCGATTGGTTAGGGACGAGCAGCAATGCGTTGTCACATTTAATTTCACACAGACTAGCTTAACAAATGGCTGAGTAGGTTAATTTGTAATTTGAACCCACGAAGGGCACTGAACAATTATTGGGACTATATACCGATTGGTTAGAGACGAGCAGCAATGCGTTGTCGCATTGAATTTCACAGAGATTCGCTTATTAAATGTCTGAGTAAGTTCATTTGTAATTTGAACCCACGAAGGGCACTGGTTGTTTGGCTGAGGTGCATTCGAAATCTGCTTCAGTAGGCATTATTTGACCCTTTGTGTTCCCATCAGCTTGTCTTCTGAATTAGATAAAAATGCGAACATGTCGGTGGCGAGGGTTTCCTAACAAAATGTCAAGCCGGGGTCGACTACGCGATAGCCTATGTTTACAAAGTTCAACGGCCCTATTATAAATTATCCTCAAAAATATCCAGGAAGACATGCAGTTTGGCTCAAAAAGTGTAAAGGAAGATGAAAACTCAAAGAGTATTTTTGCCGCTCACTGAATGAAAAATAAACATCTCTTTAAATTTCTCTAGCAAAACTGTAAGCAATTGGTTGTGTTCTTCATCCCGGAAAGCACACACTTTGTGTACAAATCTTTCTGAATTTTTATCTGCATATTGGATAACAAAAGGACGGAAGCGATAGCATTAAAACAACCTTCGGTGTTTTTGGTCCAACCCCAAGCAGCAAAATCGGTATGAATTTCACCGTCCGCGATTGCGGTATGCTTGAAATAACCCTATTTCTCCTGTTCACCAGTCGCTTCGTTAATGAGTAACCGAACCAGCTTTGTAGATCTACGTCCATTTGGTAAGCGGTCCGGAAAATCACCTAGGAATTTGCAGTGCAAATCTAATAGATGCCCGGCTGAATGTGAACATTTGAATCCAACAACCAAAGTGTTTCCTTCCACATCTGATATTTTTGCGTAGTTGTCGGTTTTAAGTGTTTTCATTCTCTGTAGTTAAATTTGCCGTTCAAAAGCTTATCAAATGTTTTAGGCCTCTGCGGGCTCCTCAGTTTTGCATCCTTATCTGTCAGGTAGTGTTACTTTTACTGCATGAGCGAAACATGCGGCGACCAAATTAACTGATTACCAAAGCACCCGGTCGCCTGTTCAGTACCTGTCCTGTCGAAAAAGATGAGATTTTGTTATACTTGTGTAGCCACGGAAAAGAAGTCCAGTGTTCCTTCTTCTTTCGGGTTATGGTCAACAGGTATCTACTTCTAAACAGTGGTAGACCTCTTCCATTGAGAATAATATAAGCGCGAGTTGTTGACAATAAATTGCACATAGAGTCACACAGCGGATCGCCGTCACCAGGGTGCCAGATATAGTATCCGAAAGATATATGGAGGAATGTGTTAGCCAGCAGCTGGTAGTGACTCGTAGAAGCTTCCATCTAGGCGATGCTCCTCTCATAATGGAGGCTCATGTGCGCCCACACGTATTTATCTGTATTTGGTCATATCTGAACGTTGAACATTAACAACAAATGCGGTGTAGTAGCTTTCTGATAATTTGTATCGGGAAAATTCTTGCCCCGAGTTCTTAGGCGCTTAAAACAGGAAATATGTGATTTACATGGCACGTTTCCTCACGACATTTCAGTTACTTATGTCGGAATATTTCACCACACCGACTCGATTGTGTAGGTCTTTCAACTGGAAGTTTTTTGATGCCAAGAGATGAAAGTGGTTTTCTAATTATCTACTTCCTAGCCCCTTGCACGCGCCTAATTGTGCTGAGTGAAATAATCGGAGTTCACTAAGCGACAGCTGAGAATTTTTCAGTATTTTTTACAAACAGTGAACCGCTTTACACGCTCATCTTTCGACAAGTGACACTTTAGCAACAGCATCCCTCATAAGAATATGGCATGTCCCAACTTCCGAATGAAAACTGACAACAGTGTGTTTACTTTGCTTGATATATTTTGCAGGTGACTGGCATCGGTTTACATGAACACAAAGTTCCTTCGAGGTCTTTGACTCATTTCAATTGCGCATCTTTTACGGCAGCTCGGCGACATTTTTTTGTGTGTAGTGTTAAACTGGAGGGATTGAGAAATTTGTACCCACACACTTCACATGAATATTTACTGACATCTGTGTGTATGCGAGCATGTTTCTCTAACGCTGCATCCGAACGAAAACCTCTTCCACAACGTTGACATACATTACGCTTTCGCATCAAAAGTGAGGTGTACACAGATGCCCCGGGGCATTCACTGGACAACAACTTATTCCAGTGTTGCTCTATCATGTGACATTTCTGCCCAGTGGCCGATTTGAAATAAGATGGACAAAAATCACATTTATATGGCCTCAGCTCCGAGTGCTCTTCAATGTGTTGGTCAAACCATCTGGCCAAATGAAAAATTTTGAAACATTTGGGACACTGATAAGAAGGCTCGGGATCGCCGACGCACCATTCGAGACGCAGGCGTGCAAGCCATTCGACATATGACAGACATGTGGATTGTGCTCCCGTTTTCTCCGAAGATCTTTCACTGTGGGCATCTGAAGAATGGCAAATATGGTTAACTTTACGCTGAATAAATTTGCTATTGCAACAACAGTTTCAAAGTCCTTTCGCAAGGCTTTTTTGGTGATATCAGGTCCAGAGTTTAATGAGCAGGTAAGCCAGTAAAGGAGACGCACACGTAGCAAGCCTTTTCTATTGCGACTTACGGTTGAAATGTACCACCACCTCAGAAAACACTATTATATCATCTACATTTTCATGCCAAGCAGAACAGGCACTTGTCAGATCTCGGGAAAATGTGTTCACTACGCGCATCAACAAAAGTGAAAGCTCGATTGATAAGAGTTGAAACTGAACGGGATTGCCGTAAAAATTTACTGGGATCTCCTACACATCTACCACAAACAGTCTTTGGCCAGCTCATTCTTTTGATGCATTCCTTTTTCAGGTTTCGATCCAGTCCGTTATAAACGTCGCGGCCTCTTGATGTTCAAATGCAAATTATATTTTGAAGGAGCTCAGGTCAGCGTTTAATAATCAGCATTTCGGCATGTTAGAGCTATTTTTTCATGAAATCCCTCCAGTCTGCACATGAGAGCGTGTCCGCCCAGATGTGCGCTGGACTTTAAAAAGGGAAATTGTGTTTTGTGCAAGATTGGGGTTTAAGAAGATCCGGTGCGGACCTCAACAATTTACTATCAAACGGTAGCCACGGGGCTTTTGTACGGCGTTAGTTTTGGCCCCCATATATATAAAATATCGTCTTAGATAGTGTAACTGATGTATTTCATGACTGTGTCTTCTGTACCACAACACAAGCGCTCGCTGATATTACGCTGATATTGTATGTCGTGCGATGGAAACCCGAGTTGTATAGTCATGGGATAAATTGTTCCTCGAATTTCGGTATTAGTTTACTTGATGCCACATATACAATAGCCTGAAGCACACAGTAGGCCGCCAACCACGTGAATAACTTATCCTTTGGGCACACACTTGTGACGATTCATTGGCTGAGATGTTCCTGCATGCGGTCGTGGGCTGACCCACTGTCTTCTCAATTTCGATTCTTTTTGTATTTTAACAACCTAAACTCTGATAAATCTTTGATCAGTAATGATAGGATAGTAGACCTGGAGATGTACCCGGTCGCTAGACCTCAATCAGATGGTAATGTAAGAATGTTTGTAGAACAAATAATAATAATAATAGTCCCAGCATTTGTGAAACCGAATCTTACAGTTAGGATGGAAAGGACTGGTGACTTACTGATAGGTGCATACACATGCATGAGGCTTTCCAGCGCGCGTACTGAAGATGGAAAATTGAATGTAGGAAAATTTTAGAACAGCATTCGGTAATATAGATATAAATAGCCATTTGGCAACAAAATGTAATTATACTCCATCCTGATGAACATTTATACAAAATGCTCCAGGGAATATATTCTGGATGACCATGCGAGTAGATCAACTCACACTCGTTTCCGACGCAGAGCTTGAGAATGAAGAATGTTATGAACACAGAGGTTGCTGCCGGCATACCCCCCATATTCAGACGTACCAGCTGCAATCGCCTGGAAAGATTTATACCATAACACACGCCGTTTTTCCGACGCAGAGCTTGAGAACGAACAATGTTATGAACACAGAGGTCACTGTCGGCATACCCCCCATACTCAGACGTACCAGCCGCCATCGCGTGGAAAGATTTATACCATAACACACGCCGTTACTGCAATGATATCCAACCGGTTTGAGCTCCGTCCGTGTCCAATCACATCAAACCGGAATTGAAGGCACTGAACAGAGTTCATTGGGATTCAAATGTTGCAGAATAAAGCTGAGTAACACCCAGTGACTTTAAATAGTATCAAACCCGTTCCATGTCCTCGTTTTAAAAATGAACGCGAGGGTAAGTGCGATTCAAAGAGGCTTTTCATTTAATTGGATGAAGCATGTAGAAAATTAATTTTCCATCCAAAGCGTGGTGAGGTTTTGCAGTAGACGTCTTTCAAGCTATCATAGTAACTCTCGAGCAAAACGCGCATAGTGAAATCGCAAAAGTCACTTTGGTACCTGTTCCATTTCACATATTATATCTGATGTAGGTGACCTTTAATTACGAACGTGGGGAAGCCCTTTTGGGTGCACCTTAATTGTAATTTTCCGTGGAAATTTCAACTGAAGTTGAAGGCTCCCGTATGTTGTTCCGTGTTATTTGAGTGGAATGTTGTATCTGAGACTTGGAAGCACCGACGTTGAAAACCTGTTCACCTCAATTGAAATTCGGACCAGTTTTTATTGGTGACGTTTGTGAAAAACCCGGTAATTGTTCATGTCACTTAATCCGCATATTCAGGAAATGCCGATGCTTAGGTTGTGACGCTTTCTTTCCTGGGATATGGTCCAATGTGTACAACAAACTGGATTCTGGTAGTTTTTAAATAAAAAAGCGTTTCTTGAAGTGGTTCTCAATGAGTAGCTGACTGCCAGGGTGATGAGAATTTACTGTCACACATCACCCAATAAATACTCCACAAACGAATTCAGTTCAGTATTCAGCGTACTCTCAGGTGGGAGTGTCTCCCGGATTGTGAACTTGTTCTTCTGCCGATCTACCGATATAATGATATTGATGAGGGGAGAATTATGAAGTCACTATGGAGTGTTTGATCCTACCAGTCAGTTTTTGTGGCGTTGTTCCCAAGGATGAACGGCTACACAGATTAGCAGGTGCAAGGTTCATCATTTATGAGAGTGACAACTTCTGGTGCGTATTTGCGGATGCGGTTATTAACAGGTCCTCTAGGTCAGTAAGAGAGATCGAGAGATGCAATTGCACAAAATCTACTCCGGTGCAATGCATTTTGGAGGTTTACTTTATATCTTTCACACGGCTAAATGTTCACCAAGTGGTGTGGATGTGGGAACGCCAGGTGTAAAATTTTATGGCACCTGCGGATGTAATCGGAAGTTTTGTTTTGCGTCGAAGAAAACACTTATATGTTGAACAAATCCCGCTGAGTAATTTTCTTGCACAACTCAATCAGTCACAACCTTTCTAAGATTATAAGTGTTTGCTATGAAGCTACGGTAAATGTTGGTATATACATCTAAGACGAGCTTACATGCTCTTTTAGATATGTGTAATTCATGTGACTGCTTCGAACCCGCATTATACTGCTGCAGGCTTGGTGTGAAAAAGAACCGGACCTCGTTCAGACAATCATTTATAGTACACCATCGGAAAAACTCTCGTGTATTTCAAAGCCGGCACATTCCAATAGATAGCTCTTATTGACTTGCAGACGACACAGGAAACGGTAATGTTTTCTGCATGTTTCTGCTGTGGATGGACTGCTATCGGATGCACCACATATCTGGCAATGCCACAAACAACAAATGGCAGACAAACGGATCTTCTACCTTCAGATAGCATTGGAAGGCTCTTTTAGGCCCACGGCTTCCATGAACATGCAAAGCTGTAGCTTTCTTCTTAATAAATATAATTGCACTCCACCAAGGCCCACGTCGGCAATCAAACAAAACGCACACCTACACAATCTCCCCAGGATAGATACATACAAAAAAGAATAATAAGTACGCAATGAGACTCCAGGATACAGGGCTAGCGCCCAATGACTTTTTCGACATGCACCAGATGTGGAGTAAAGCTGACGGCTGTGTTATGGGAATAATTGATCTTTATTTTTAAATTGACTTTCCCACCTTGCCTGAATTTCTGAATTCCTAATATATTAGACAATCAAATATATGTTCCAAGTGAGTATACGTTTATTGCCGCATACAACTTGAAAAATATGCTTGCTTGAATAGTATGCTTTGTAGATCCAGCAACTGAGACACTCACGTTCGCGACCTGTGGCCTACCGCTTCCTCAGTGGTGTGTTACGCACCTCGATTACCGAACGAATTCATGACTAACGCAAGCCACAAAAACAGTCTGGTTGTGGCTTAGCAATACGGGAATCATTTCGTCTAATGTGTCTAAAATACCATCAGCCTCTCTGCCATTTCGTGAATATTCCGATATGGGTTTTTATCCTGATTTTTTTTTCCTGATTACTTCTGCCAAATTTACACAAAGCTACGTTGGAGATGACACCTGTTGTTACTCAGCGAAGTTAAAGACGTAAAACCTTTGACGAAATGCCAAGAAATACCACAGAACTATACCTAATGCACTTCACTTAATTCTGGACTTCTGCTAGCGCCTTTTCTGCCAGCAGCCTTTTGCATACAGGGAACGAATCCGCGTTAGTGGCAGCTAACGCAGTTGAGAGAAGAAGAATGGTGTTTGAAGTAGTGGTACATACGGTGTACCTGACGAATGTGGATCGTACTCTCAAAAGATTTGTTTTTTTCCTAATCTAGGAAACCTCGATCCAGGTTGTAGTTTCCCAACAATATACAATATAATGCATGTAGTAGTTTTTTCACGATATTTTGAGTAATTCATATGTGCTTCATATTGTCAACGCCTACAAATATCTGGAAATCGCTATTGGGGCACTGATTTATCTGCTGGTATAATTCAGGTTGAATGGCAATTTCGCCAAGCTGTGTACTGGCCCTGTTGTTTTATCGAACAACTCTTCCCATCAAAAGAACCTTTACGGGAACCGGACAAAATTTTAGTCACGTATAATGGTTGATAACGGATAGACGCCAATTATTGAAGGACAGTCCTTATTTACACCACAACAGCTCTGGTACCACAGTCAGGGCTTAGTTCTCAAAAATGTCGGGAACACCAAAGAATTAAAACTCTGTAAGTATGAATGTACCCGGTCAAATAAAATGGTGCCTGAGATGAGATAAGTGGTTCGGTTAAATTCTGAAAAATGTGCGATTCTTTAAAACTGCCCGTAAACAGCAATGTACTAAACAAGATGGGCACAGTTGTTAATCGTGCATTTGTTCCGAATACCTTCAATCGCAAAGCTAGGTTATGATGGCCGAAATGTTTCGCAAGAAACTTTACGATTGAGCATTCCAAACGGGGCAATTCCACAAAAGTTTCAGCCTAAATAAACACTTCCACGGACTACTTCAATATTCTTTGATGGGACCACTTTTCGGGTTACAGTTATCGAAAACAAAGAAAAAAAATATAATTCGTGAAGTTTGTCGTCGTTGATGGTCAGCCTTTAATGAAAGCCTGGAGGTGGATGACAGGTGACAGCAGCTAATTAGTGAAAGAGAAGCGTGCGGTGCTCATTAACTTCGCTGGGGCTGCCTTGTGTATGTGATCAATCACCTGTTTACAAAGGTATTTGAGCGGACAATAAACTACATGCCTCAAGAGTCGCGAGGCTCATTAGGTTTGTATGGTTACCTCAGAGATTTTGAGTGCACTAGCTTTCAAAATTCTGCTGCGCAAAGCTGTTTTTTCACGAAATGCCACTGAAACATAGAATGGCAGTGGGGACAGTGATGAGTGTTTATTTTCCTAAGGACAAACTGCAAAAGCGCTGTATAGTATATTGCTTGTGTTGTTACAGAAGTCACAAATATGTTTAGCAATAGCTTAAAATCGGATTCCGCTTTGGGGGACATCTGAGCAATGACTGCTTCCGCTCTACGTGCCAAATCTTCGGAAATGCTAGCTCTGCGCCAAGTATACAAACGGAAAACGGAAATATCCACTGGAGGATAATTTCGTGAACGTCCTCCACGGCTAATTATCCCTAATCCAAATTATGCGCACCTAACGGGTAGATCGGTAAGAGGTCGACATTTTGCATACGAATTGCAATGAGTCTGCGGTGTGAATATCAGGCACAGAAAACTTGATATTACGCTGCATTTTGCCGGAAAAGTCGATATAATTGCCCAGAAATATACACAGCAACGATCATTCATCATCTGCTGGAACTCGTGTACATTTCTTATTGCTCGGTCTCAACTGTGCGTGGTAGCTTCTACAATGGTCACTGAGAGTCGTTTGACATTATAACTTAAGTCGCAATGACGTGAGCGAACTTGTAATTCGGAATCCTACAGACTTAATGGGAGTTCACTTGGGTTGTTAATTCCCAAAACCAGGGAAGCCACGGGATAATGTCTCGAACATAACAAGTAAAAAGATGAAATAGCTCGTGTGTCCGTAAGCAACATACCAAATTTGCTGTTTGTCCTGTTGTTCAGAAGGGATTTTTTGTGTCTAAACTGATATGTCAATGATGCTTGCGTTGTTAAAGAAGTCACAACTATGTTTAGCAATAGCTTAAAACCGGATTCCGCTTTGGGAGCCATCTGCGGACGATACATTATCCTCAGGGTCCGAATTCAGAAGCGTCTTCAAAGGTGCACAAAAGTCTTTACGCAGCCGTGATTCAGTGGCTTCTCGGTACGTTGTTTTTGAAGGCATTAATGAAAACCTCGCCATTGCTGAATTAGCTAAGTGCCTAGGGTTATAAACGCATTGGGGCTTCACCGCAAGTATTCTGCTATTTATTCGTCAGCAACTCAAGTGCAGTCGAATGTTGAACGTGTGCGCCAAAAGCGGCCTGTGAAGCGATGGAGCACACAAGCACCAGTATCATATCAATGCTCGTCTGGTTGAACCCTGAAACATTTATCGAAACTATTCACAAATTCATAAGTCTGCGAAATTCGTTGTCAGCCCGCAATTCATATACATGTTTTGAGAAAAAAATTCAAGCAATTCCGCCGCAACTAGCTGTGCGACATTTATGGAAACTACTCACAAATTCATAAATCTGCGAAATTTGTTGTCAGCCAGCAATTCATATACATGTTTTGAGAAAAAATTTCAAGCAATTCCGCCGCAACTAGCTGTGCCGACCAGCTGTTCATTAGGGCAGAACAGCTTAATATCATTAACAATTTCCGAGGATATATCAAGCTGGCCTCTCACGGACATGCCCAGAGTTACGCGGTATGCCGCCGTGGTTAGTTGCGTGACAGAATGAAATGTTTAATGGACTAGCCGCAGAACAGGGAAAGACATTCAAGTGTAACTCACGGCGACGGATAATGAAGCTTGTAGCGGACATTTCCATGTCCCCTCAACGAACTTCACTTAATTTGTCCAGTACATGAGTGTTCACTAGATCCCACGACTTACCTGCTAAACAGGCACACAAATCACGTGACAAATGCCGTTCCACCCGCAAACTTGATCGACTATAAGTCATTTCGGTAGTGTAGTCATCAAAGTCAAGCTAAGATTGCCAATAAAGCTACTCTACCTGAGACTGGACAGTCCACTGTACGTAGGCTAAGAGGCGGCATGGTGGGGGTAACCAAACACGTAATGACTGGTGGCTGCGTATATTCTGAAATGGTGGACTAGATTCCCATGAGGCCATTATTGAGTTGGATGATACTAGGACAATCTATGAGGGAGGAATTTGGTAAAGGAGATGGTCGCCAATCCTCGAAGGACGAGTATCAGCTCTATTCGATGATTAGTGCACGACGAAGAAGACTTCCGATGCTAGCCTCACAAGTTGATAGTAATGAGCCTCACTGTATGTTTTCATTTGTTATATATCCTCACTCCTGGGAGCATCCACAGGAATGCAGGTTGACGTAAGCCATGTCATCGAAGAGTTTCTTCCGGCTATCCCAGGTATGTTGTTTCTTTAATATTTTCAAACAGGTGAAAAGTCAGCTATGTTGTTGTTTATGGTGTTGCCAAATAACTCAACCGAGGCGGGGCAACTACCAGCAGCATCAACCAGAAGACAGTAGTGCTGTTTTTTATTTTCACTTCCCTAATTTAAAGGTCGGGCTCAGAACCACCGGCGATGAACGATGCACCCGTGCTACTGGACGGATACACATTCGAGACACGAGGTTTTCACCCCTGGTGCATGCTACCAGATCTGCAATGTGGAAAGCCACCAAACCAGTCGTATGTGCGGTTTGTGCATTAATAATGTACTCCAGCTAACAGTTTCTTCCGGTCGGCCAGTAAACGCAGACGCTGGTGGAGGCAATCCGCGGAGGGGACAGGGAAATGACAGTTGCCAATGAGACAGTAGGGGGAGAATGATAATATTCAGGGCGAGTGCCCTATACCTAAACAGCGACTGAATGTTGGTGTTAGCTACCATGTCAGGCAAAATCGTACCGCGATTTGTGTGTTCCGGTGATTGGTGGGCTGGGGACCAAATCATCATATGGATTTGATGTATGTAAGTCGGCGTATAATGTGCTACTGTGGTGGGAAAATCTGACTCTTCGTTTTTGTCAGTTAGATTTGAGCCGACGGCACCAGTCACTAGACAGAGCTGGTAGAGTAACCCGGACAAGAATTTGTTTAGGACGATGTATAATTTTGTTGGAAAAAAAGAAAAACACACAGGCCGGTAACGCAACATATTTAGATCAAGTAAGCGTTGACGTCCTACAGTGGCCTGAAGTAAGGAAGATGTGATAGCTGGATCTATTACTTTCCTACTAACTTTAACGTTGCTATACAAAAATGTGCACTGAACCCAAATCATATAGGTCGGGGGTAGTTGACTTTACGTCGGACGGCAGCAGTTTCACAGGCAAGGAATTTGTCCACGGACTGAGAAAAAAGTATGATGATGTGTGGTATTTCGCACCTGCTAAGGAAGTCTGGTTCCAGATGGTGCGTGTTAAACTAGAAAAAATATTAATGGCGTATATTTGTTAGAGTTGTGGGGACACTAAACGTTGCATTACTTTCGGGATCAGTAGCGAGTTCATCTTTCGCCTAGCCTCTGCTATAAAGGTATTTCTTATGCAGCAGGCGGTGAATGGGAGTTAATATTATCTTAAAACGTCTGAGCTATAGTGGAGTAAGGACTGGGGTTTACACCGGGAGCGGTAAGGTTCAGGGTTTGACCGAGGGAACAGCTTTTTCGTGAATGAGCGTTTGACGCTTTCAAGTGCGAGCCTACAACTTTGGGCATAAAGGGAGAAGAACACGGTACGAATTTCGACGATTGATCGTACGCATCTTCAGGAAGGTGAAGGGAACGCAGTAATAAATCTGAGCCTGCGTGCACGGGCAACCTGGTACTGCAACTGGCCAGAAAAATAAACGTACAGGAGTATCTAAGGTCATTACCTCTGATATCCGTGAAATGAGTGATAGGATTTCCATTTATTTTGAAACCATCCGCCGGGGTTTCAACGGAAGGAAATTGTGCTGGATTTTGTGGAGTAGAATCTTAGGCCAGAGACACCGAGACTAAGTCATGTTCAATATAGTGAAACGTAAGGACTGGAGCAGATGGAGGAGATTTGTATGCAACGTTTGTGTCGTCCGCGAAGAGGAAGACTTCACCATGCAATATGGCACCGAATACGGTGTACAGTAAAAAGAGGACGGGGCCTAGCACGCTTCCTTGGATGACTCCACTGGTGGTCGATAGTGGAGATGATTGTAAGTCCCAATTTGTGTTACTTGATTCCTGTCAGATAGGTAGGAGGCGAACCACTGAAAGAAGGTTCCAGTGATGCCAACGGTACTAAGTTATAATGACTCCACTGGTGGTCGATAGTGGAGATGATTGTAAGTCCCAATTTGTGTTACTTGATTCCTGTCTGATAGGTAGAAGGCGAAACCACTGAAAAAGTTTCCAGTGATGCCAACGGGTACTAAGTTATACAGTAGGGATACATGGGGAACCTGGTTGAAGGCTTTTTGAATATACAGGTGAACCGTTACAATGTGGTATCCAGCGTCGTGGGCTGCTGTGTTGGTCTCGAAGAAGTAAAGCTGGCAGCCACTAACGGACCTTTGAGACAGGAAAGCATACTGCCGGTCATATATGTCAGTAGTTGTCGGCAGGAACCTGGTTATTGGACTTCTGACCAGAAGTTCAAGGGTTCTCATCAGAAGGGAGGTATGATGGATTACCCTGTGGTTAAAAGGAGTTTTTCTAGATACGGATTTGGAATGCGGGTGGATTATGGATTTGTTCCACTGGGAGGAGACGATTCCACAGTTTATAGAGTGAGTGAAAAGATTTTGTACAGGGATTCGAATATCTCGGCCGCTCTGTTTCAGAACACGGGGTGGAAGTCAGTCGGTTCCTGGAAAACAGAGTCCTGTATCTTTAGGAGGGGAAAACACCAGCTAGAGAGATGGTTACGTTGCTGATAATCGAGTGGTCACCCTGACCGTTCACACTTTGGAGGCAAACAACACTGTGTATGGGTTTGGAGTTGGGAGGAAATGGTAAGTAGCAGCTGGCGAAGTAAGCGTTCAGATGGTCTGCAATGTTGACAGGATCAGTGATGAGGCCGCTATTTGTGGAAAACAAACAAATAATTGAATGGCTGTTTACGATACAAAACCTACAAAGCATTCGGCTGAGTAATTTGGATTGCGAAAGATATCTGAGAACAGTGTCCTCTCCCCGGCGTTCCAGAGTTACCCTGAAGGATTGCGAATGGAGAAAAACGTACAAAGAGCGGAGACCGGGAAGCCACGGGTAGGTTGAGACAAGTAACGTTTAAGTAAGTAACACGTAACGTGTTTCTGTAAGTTGAAGCGACCAGTCACACATACGCTTGACTTTTCAGCCCATAGTCGCTCACTGGATCACGCGACTTGTCTCTTTTTCATGCCTACAACCACGTCACATGAAGATGAATCGTCAGATGTCGATTGTCTACAACGTCTATCGGGCGTATCAACCACTCACGCTCCCACGTACGCGCAAGCAGACCTACACATAGGGAAACTAAACGCAATCAGCTCACACAGTCTCGCGCGCGCGCAGGGAGCAAGGAGTCAGCCAAGCACTTCAAGTCCGCGGACAACTCTGGAATAAGTGCAGCAGCCAAACTGCGGAGAAAACACATTCCCGCCGTCCGAACGTTTACCAAGGGACTCTTCACATACGAACGTTCCCTGTTGAGTTGCTCCACACTTTTTATTGCTCTTTATTTTGTGCATGCTTCAAATCGTCCCTGTAAACAACTGTCAGTCACAGTTAAAAACTTTTAATAACGCATACACCATCTGAGTTGCATTATGGCTATCAACACCTGTGCACTATTAAACTCAGAGCCTGTGTGTAACCAAAAGCTGCGTTAGTTGGTTTCTCTGGATTGCTGAGCGCCACGAGAGCTCTTATAGCCGTGTGAGAATGAGCCACGGGTTAGTACAACGAGCAAAATACAAAAAGAGTCTGAAGTTTCTTCCAGAACTCGATCCAAAAGCACGGAGGCAGTAAACGCCACGGCGTTTGGAACAATTATTTGAAAAGCCTTGATGAGTTGTTACAATCAATCAAATGTTCATAATGTATGGTCAGTAACTTCGAAATGATGCATATGCCACTGCTCAAAGCGTTGGATTCCAAGATTTAGCATGCCAACCAGTTTCGCGACCTTCTCCACAGGCTCATGAATCATGTTTTGGAAACTTGTTACGATATGTCTTTAATGCACGGGACAATATCATCACAAGCTTGCGTTGAGTAAAGTTGAAATGATATTAGGATGGTGATTTTGAGAAACCATTTTTGCCGAACAAGATCTTACCATTATATTTGATGCTTCTTCAACCGGAACATTTATGCAGACTGGGGATCGGAAGTTTTCATCAGCTCTTAGAGCCAAACTTGAATATTCTAAGAAAGAGGAGCAACAACTGCGGTATATTGGGCTGTGGAACGGCTCTGCTACCGCTGCCATCGGTCACGATGCTTATAAGTTCTCGCGTCATCCTACAAAAATTCCAGCAAAGTCATCTCGTGGTAAGATGCATCGGTGGATTATTGCCCCGAGAGACCAAAAATACAAATCTGTTAGAAACAATTCAGATTGCTTTTTTTGATTCGCCGATTAACAGTGAAGTGGGATATGTCCCTGATATTGAAAGATGTTTTATCCCATTTTTTTCGCACTGCAACGAGCATGGACACAGCCAGAGCGACGTTGATCTACTGCCGAAGGTTTGCTATGCTTTAACGATGGTTTTGACATACCATGGTCTCAGCTGTCCATGGAGGCTTGTATTCTCCTCATCTGAGTTTTGATAAATTAATTCGCTTGCATGCTTGTCATGCTGGTAGCTGCAAATACAACAGACATCAAGTACACTGCTAAAATAGTGTTGAAATGCACATAAGATCCATAGAAAATCTTCACAGTGATATTCCCGGCCGTCTACTTGTAACACATTTCAACGACTTCTTGCAGAATACTGCTGTCATTCTTTAGGTAAATACTGACGCATATTTACGTTGACCCAAACATCTCCTATTACTCCACGTGCTGAATTCGCACAAAAAGCGTCGAGAAACGTATTCGGGAATGAAAATGTATGCACTTCTGTAATATGCACGCTATGGAAGCACCAGGAGACAGTGATTCTCCGAAGGCAGGTGTTCACGACAATCTCTGTGGATGGAAAACAGAAATAAAGCTCATGAGCCAAAGCCCAGTAAGCAAGGTTGTACATCACCAATACTTACATATGAAGCAATCAAACTGACAGCCACCGTATACTACACTTCTTTAGCAGCAGACAGCCGCACACACGTCATTGCGAAGTTCTTCAAGAGATGTCTTCGGAGGAAATATGTGTTTACAGCTCCACGATATTCTCAGTCGAATGGGCTTCAGGGAATCTTGTCGGGGGACTGAAGTTTGTAGTCACTTCAGTTTCACCTACTTTTTTGATAGTTTGGAACGCAAAATTGATTCATCTCCAGTGCACTACAGGAGTGTTGTTCATTCAGTTGCTGAAAACAAACTTGCTGGTTATGTACACGTCTTGACTGTACCACCACGACGAATATTATGTTATTTATGAGCAACGAATTACGGCCCGTTACAGGAATAAACATTTTATCAAAGTTCAATCGTATGGCCAAAATTCTCATCTTATATGTTCTCTCTTATCCCGGGAGACTTACTGAAAAATTTGAGTTCAGTGCTAAACTTCGACCCGTAAAATAAATTCTTGTTGCTTCAATTGCGAATGAAAACTTGGTAGGTGATCTTGTTGGACCGGAACAAAAGCTTATGTCAGAAGGAAATACTTCCTTCGAAAAACCTGGGATTTTCAATCGGTAAAAATCTGGAAGACTTTGATCAGAATCACACATGGGCTATAAAAATTTACATGCTCATTCAAGCTGAGGTGAATGTGATGGAAATGATTGAGGCCCCATTTTTTGTTCCATTCATTATTTTCTTGTTTTTATATTTCAAGTGTTTTATATCTACATCAACTTGGATGCGTACTGGCTACTGGTTACTCCAAGCTGAATTATGTCTTGTTTTTTATTTCAAGTGTTTTATATCTACATCAACTTGGATGCGTACTGGCTACTGGTTACTCCAAGCTGAATTATGAATCCCTAATTTCTCTGGTTGTACGAATGTACATGCTGATCGCGATCATTACAATATTGCACGCCTACCGGAAAACCTGTTGCGAGTAAGCCCACGGAAGTCTGTAGAGTCATATTGAGTCCCATTCGATGCAGATTAACGCGAGCAACCCGTGCTTCACTATGCACTGTCTGCTCAGTACAACAGGGGAGGTTTTATTCAGCGTCAAGAGAGTGAGTTTAACAGTTTGGGACACAGACTAACTAACTAACTAATATCCAGACAGAGTTATCCGGCTAGTTACGGAAGCCGTGAATGTGTGTAAGTTGAGTCCTTCTGATGACATGCGCCTTATAAATTGCTCTGTTCCCATACGGGAACGGAAGATAATTTAGCTACTGCATGTAACATTTGCTAGAATGTGAGTAGCATTTCCCTAAGCTAGGTCAAACATTTTGGCGCTGATAAGCACTCCTGCTATTTTTCAATTCAAAAATGAAATCCGTTTTCGCATCCCAACTACTTTGCGTAATATGCCGTCAATGTTGCAGTAAACGAGGTTACATTCGGGGACCTTGATAATTCCAACTCCACCACCTTACACTATGAGTGTTTGATAAGGATCACGGTGTATTTCAAGAGATTGCGACATGCACCCAAAACTTTTAATGGATACGAACATTGGTTTGTTCATTTTGCTCGATATATTGTGAAAGCCACCCATGCAGATATACAGACGTGATTGTAAAGATGGGCTAGTTGATCATTTTAACTACACATCCTTAATGGGACCGCGTCGACATTGATTCGAATGTCGCAACAACCTGGAGAAATAGGGAAATGTTTCACTACACACATCACAAGAAAAGATATTTTCCTTTGTGTGGGCGAGAGCGTGCTTTTCTAGCGATGCCTCCGAGCGGAAACCTCTTCCACAACGTTGACATATATGACGTTTCCGCGTCAATAATGTTGCGTACTCGGTCGATCCGGCACGTTCTCTGGTTACTAGCTCATTCCTGTGTTGCTCCATCATGTGATATCTCTGACTTTCGGGTGCTCTGAAAGAAGATAGACAGAAATCACATTTGAATGGCTTCAGGATTCGATGATCCTCAAGGTGTTCACTAAAACATCTGGCGGAATCAAATATTTTCAAACACTTTGGACACTTGTATGGCGTTGTGGGGTTTTCAGGGCTCGGTTCGGATTCCCGTTGCACAAGCGGTTCAGTGTACGATTGGTCTGTGAAGGTTGTGGAGGCAAAACCGATATCTGCCTCCTCCAAAGTTTTGTGTTTGTTGACACCTAATAAAAAGACGGGTGGTTATCAATTGTGGACATACCAGAATATATCATTATCATCAGAAAAGTTCAGAAAGTGATGATCACATAGATCTACATTTAAAAATATTATGAAGGCACAGTTGATTTTCTGTCATTGTGAATGGCGAGCATTTACCTTCACATAATCTGTATTGCGCAGAATTAACTTGCGGTCCCTTTTGTCAGTAACCCAGGTTGGAAACAGCACCGTTCTAAACGATTGACAGTCTGGCAAAGGTTGGAATTCCAAAATGATAGAAAACGCCTGAATGAAGATTATGTAGGCAAAACTTAAACATTTCGCTGGCCTACGAAAAGTTCTGCAAAGGTGTATTCGTTGCTCAAGGATTGCTTAAATATCCAAAGCCTTTCATCATGTTTCCAGGCAAAATTGAAAAAAACAAATTAGTTTGCAAAAAAGTGTATATTCGCTAATTTTGTGCTGTTTGTTTTCAAGTGGAACATAAGGTCGACGGAAACCCGGGGACTGCGCCCACCTGATGAGCCGTAAAAAGGGCGAAACCGGTCGTGGGCTGTCGATGGAATTTTAGCAACCTTATCAGTAGTACGTTACACAGAAACAAGTTACGATTACACTCATTCTGGATGACCTGGGGTTCATCTTATAATTTGTAATTCCATGTACCAGTCTCAGGTGCGGACGCGGAGGTTCAGGATCAAATCATCGGAGTTTTACCTTATGGCGTACTTGGAATTTAGATCAAAGGACCGTTTCGAGGATATCGTATATATTCACCTGCATTTTGCCAAACGTTGAGAGAAACCTGAAGCTTCAAGAAAGGTTTGCTATCAGTTGAATGTGACGCCATAAATAGCTCACTTTAATTTTTGTATCGTGCCATTTTTCAATAAGACTCACTGGTTTGGCAAGTGGCAGCGCTTCCGCCCAGGTCGACATAAGGCTCTTTGTCACTTGTCAGTTTTCATTATAATTTATTTTTCAAATAAAACAGTAACCAATGGGGAAGCATAATTATGAGTATTAAGAAAAAGTTATAAAGTTTATGTGTCCGGTCAAGGAGGTGACCTCCTAAAAATGATTTTTGCTGCATCTTTCATAAGTACGCTAAATAAGGTGGCTTCCACTTTCGAATCGACGCATCCTTATGCTCGTATCCGCTATACCTCAAAGCCTGCACTGACTGACATTATGAAGAATCGCAGGTCGCGAGATTAAACCAAAGTCAGATATTCTTGAACCAAATCGTTAACAGAATTTCGGTATTGGTGAACTTGGCGACCGCGTATTATTTAAAATGAAACGCACCCTTGAATGACACCAGCCTGCATAATCGAGCCGTGTAAGTGAACAACTTGGAACCGATCAGGTCAAACTTGCATCTTTTTATATTTAAAAAACCTAATTTTTAATGAATCTCTGTTCACTAATGATGGGATAGTAGAACCGGTGATGCCTTTTCTTAGTCATCACGCACTCGGATGGTAATATTTTAATATATGTAAAACATAAATTATGGCTGTACCGGAATTTTTGAATCTAAATAACGCATTTGGGTTGAAGAGAATTGTGGACTTACTGATAGGTGCATACGCATGGATGAGATTTTCCAGCGCGCCTACTGAAGTTGGAACGTGGCATATAGCAAAATGACAGAACAATATTCACCCATATAAATTTATGTGCAATATGGCTGCAAAATGGTGGTTGTACTCTATTACGACGAAACATCATACAAAATAATCAAGAAAAATATTGGGAATAGTCAGACGGGACGATTGGTGCGTTCATTCTCATTAACTCACACTACTTCCCGATGCCCAGATGGAGGATAAAAACGCTTATGCATAAAGGGATCGTAGTCAGCCAACTCCTCATATTTAAACATATTCACCATGACTGCACATTGTGATTTATAACATAAACTAGCCCACACAGCTTTGCTGCAAAGCTACCCAATCAGTTTGACCTCCAACTCTGTCCAGTCAAATCCAACATGAATTTCAGGCGCTGTAAAATGAAACATGATGGATTTCACTGTGACAGAAACCAGGCTGAACAGCACATGGTCTATTGAGACAACGTCTTACTTAAGAAAATTGTGTGTTCATCAAAGATTTCCAGCTTGTCTGAGTTGCGAAATTTTAAAAATTTTAAAATTTTAATTTTTTTTAATATTTTAAATTTCATATTCGATGCAAGTGAGATATTTTAATTAAAATTTTAATTTTTTTTAATATTTTAAATTTCATATTCGATGCAAGTGAGATGAGTTTTGATGATCCATAAACCGTGCCGAGCAAACTTCTCGTATTCAGTGACTGAGACACACATGGAAGCATTTTTTCACTTACTGGTTGACTGAAGAAGATTACTCTTTCGGTCCATGGGAGACACCCTGGTCCCTTCATATTTGGATTAGTTTTGGTACTTTGTACTGCGGGAGAAATGTGGTTTCATTTGAATTGAGATTGTGGTCCTACAAACGCATTTGTTACTTTGTTCCTGATCTAACTCCTGCTTTAAGTGTATTTAGCTTTGATAGTTAACCTTTCAATCTCATTTCAGTGATATCACATTCATGACAAGCACCGATCAGAAAGTGCTGTGCTAAATCAATGTGCGTATAGCTCCAGCTACCAGAACAACCATTGATGATTTTGGGTGATCGTTTCTTTTTTGTGATAATTAATCAAAATATTCCTATCCTATTCCCTTGGTTTGTGTCACGTCACCTCAATGATCAAACACAGCATTTTATTTCACGTCAGCTGCAAGACGAACCGGGAAGTAATACGGCTCATCGTCCGGTGTTCAGTATTTACAGTCTATCTTGTTCTAATTACGTGGGCTTTCAAGCCATATCGGAAGGACGTAATGAAACGAGCAACCAAACGGCCAAAATACCTATGATGAATCCTATGATGAATCCTATGATGAATCCTTGCACGATCGCAAATGTTTTGATCCATGCAGCACCGTAGTTACTCACAGAGCGCCAGTCCATTTACACCCCCTGGACTGTAATTTTTAAGGAAAACGAATTTCATGAAAAACACTGGTGTTCGCTGAGTTGAACTTGGTTTCACTCTGCACTTACCCGCCACGTACATTTGAATGCCTGGTTCGTGAAACATGTCCCCAAGTTTGTTATCCGTTTTCACGGGCTCGCTCGCACTAAGTCATTTTCAATGACATCACAGCGCAAGCCAAAAATGTTCAGTGCTCATTCATTCCTCTGAGAAATAGAGAAGTCATATGGTAGTTGAAAGACGTTCACCTGCTAAGTTATTTTCGTGTATGATTAAATGATTTTATTTTATTTTCTTACTCACATTTTCCACGCTATTTCCCCCCTGGTATTTAATGCCAAGTCGGCGAATAAACTTAATTTTAATCAGTCAAGTTGAAGACGTGAAATATTCGACGAGAATAACAAAAATAACCCATTATTGGAAACTTTGTGCTTCACCATTTTGTGCTTTTGTCCTCCGCTTTCTTGCCTGAGGCATGTTGAATAAATTGAAGAGATTTGTGTGACTGACAACTAAAATAGATGACAGAAAAAAAGCAACAGAAGGCACACGGTACCCACATACCTTACACGGAGAAGGACTCAGATTTGTACTGTGTGGGTAACTGTAAAAGCCGTGAATGAGCATCGGCGTTTGAGAAAAAAGCCACCAGCAGTGCAGCTGTAATTTTGATGATCCTCAATAATCGTTCTGTTGGCTCTGAGTTCTCGCAGGTGAGCGCAAAAAAACAAGAAACAAGAAATTGCGTTAAGTATCAAACTACAAACCGGGAGTTATACGGAACGTACGATACATTTTAAGATAATTTATGTGCACAGCTTTCCCTCATCCTTCTCTGCATACTTGAAGGTTTCCAATAATCAGATAGACACGCCATACGCTGACGAGCATTTCGACAAGCATGAAAAGCAATCGATATTATCAGCAACATTCTCAGACAGTAAATTGAACCTGCCTAATTCTCACCAGCCTCAAACAAATTGTACGATAACTTCGGGAATATCGAGCACTGCTGACCTCGGTTACTTTTTGTTGGGGACGCTGTTCGGTTGAATTTTCAAGAAAGAAAGAAAACATCCAATTTGCAAAGTTTCTCCCCTGTAATAAAAATAACGCTTATTAACTTCGGTTTTCGGTCACGAAGTGACAGGTCAATAACTTCACAAAAAATAGCACAAAATTTGAGATGACTCGAATGTCGAAAACGGCTTACCAAATATTCAGTCTGTTTTGTTTTTGGCATTGAAAAGTCGGTATCTAAATTAGTGTGTTAGTTACAAAATTATCTGCGGAATCTGGAAACTCGAGATTTACTGACGGGGTCAAAAGAGCCGCCCTATCTTGTAGACTGAATCAAATTCACCGCTGTCATTTGCTAGATGCCTCCTCTACGGATTTGTTTTATTATCATCCGTGGGTGCCGCTCAAAATGCAGTACATTCAAATCAAGCTGAATATCAGAAGTGAGAGGAACAACAGAAAACGTTCGCTGGGGTCATTTCGCGAAATACAATCTCAATTTTCTGGTAATCTATGCTTGTTATAATACTACGCGTGAGGATGCACTGTCAGTCATTTTCAGTGAGGTGCAACGTTTTGTCCAGTCAGCTGAGAATTGCCTATAATACTACGCGTGAGGATGCACTGTGTCAGACGTTTCCAGTGAGGCACAACGTTTTGTCCAGTCAGCTGAGAATTGCTAAATGAAGAAACGTCCATTAGAACATCTTCACCTTCAGTGTATTAACGCACTTACCGGTTGGCCTCGATGGCATAATGGACGTTTATACAGGGTATAAACCTCTTTTAGATTTGTGAACCGGAGCCGAAAACATTACTATACAGTTTTCTCTATTCGATAATTTACCACAATTTATATCAAACAAATGAGACCCCCGAATACCTCATTGGAGGTGCAGGGGCTGGCCCATTCCAGGCGGATCATTTTTACCAGAATGTCCTAAGAAACAGGTGTCAGTAAAACAGCCCTTTCATCTGTCATTTTGTAAAAAGTCACTTGTAATAGCATGAGGTACTCTGTGATGGTCCAACCTCATAGTAACGTTTGAAGACATAGCTGGACTAGTTGTTACCGCGGCCGCACAGCACTGAGGGTAATTTCTATAATCATAATGCTCCACGTTGGATTTGATCAACCGGTGCATCGGACTGGATCAAATTTGCGCACCTCTGCATGCAGACGAACAAAATCTCGACCGAAGCATTTCGATGGGACCAATATTGGATTCTTTAACGAGGAGTCCTTGGAGTCAAATAAATGATGTTCACAAGCTGGATCTCGGAGGGGCCAACGGTGCTAGTGAATCCAGCATCGACCAGATTACGCCGGCAGAGGTCAGGTGCGTATCGACGAATCAGGACACAACAAAGTATTTTGAGCCTACTGAATTTGTCGAAAATCCTACTTCCTTTAAATTCCAAGTACAGGATTTGGTGCTTATTCTTAGTGCTCACAAAGCATTTTCGGCGCATCTCATTTTTTCCACCGCAGAAGCTCATCGTCCCTCTAATGAAATTTTGCTTAAATAGGTTTAAAAATCAGTGTAACGGTGATAGATGTGATAACATAAATCAATATTTAAATGTTTCAGTGTCACGGATGGGCATATAAATGTATATGAGCAGCCAATTCCGCAGGCCCGGTTTCGTGCTTGGCTTATCAGGTAAAAAACATGTTGAAATTATAAATGTTATGTTGCGGTGCTTCTACAAACCCTCTTGATTGTTTGTGTAAGAACCGGTGTAACGGTATCAACTACTGCTTAATGTGACAAGCAGATTCATTCTGATTAACGAATAATTTCCATAGCAACTTCCGGAATAAATAGAACCTGCCCTTGGCGTTCTGACCGTTCACAAAAGCAGAAACGACTCATTCTTCGAAGGCGCTTTCATCCAAGTTACGCGTTCCTGATAATAAGAGGGTGCAGTTTATTTGGCCATAACCATCGAATGGTAGGAGTATCAAAGTTTCTACGATATAATACAAGAACAACTCATCCGGACATTGCCGAGATTAGGCGATCACGGTCATTTTGCCATGGGCTGCGTGCTTTAACAGTCAGTGGACATAAGTAAGTCTCGTCGATTACAAAACGCCAGTAGCATCGTCTAGAGGCGCCAGTTGTGCCAAATTAATGGGAGTCTACTATCAGCGAAATGTTCTTGTCGTGACCAACTGAGGGGAATTTCCCAAAAAAAGATGGATTATTAATCGGAGAAATTCATCTTACAAGATTCGGGGCTTTTCTGCCCTTTTCTGCATTTGAGGGTTATAAAAACATCCGCATATTCTTGATTTCATGTATCCCTAATAAGCTTTGGACTGTCAGTAATTATAAGTCAATTTAGAACTACTAATTTACCATTAAGTACTCAGAAATTAATTTTGCTTTTGACATTGTATGTTCAAATAGGTGTAGCATGGCCTTCTGTTTGGCTATATTTTGGGCTAAACATTAAAACACGTGTATTTTTTTATTGCCTATTTATGTACAACGTAACACACATCTTATTTAGGTTGGTACCTTGAATATCCAAAAATTCGCATGGTGAGCAATCCACATGTCCAACCTCCTCGAATTTCAGGACACTGCCTTCCGCAAGCAGCGTGAAGGGAGTGATCATATTCAGCAAGGTGATACGCATACTCCTAACAGAATGTTTTCTGCTTTTTCTGTCTGTGGTATGAAAGCAGTTAAGAGAAATATACGGGAAACCGGGACCATTACCAGAGTGATCTGTGTTTGATGCACATTCGTGCCTTAAGAGTGAAACAACTAGGAGGCAGGTCAAGGGCCAACGACCTCAATATTTTAGGAACTAACATCGTAAGACGCGACAAACAAGGGTGCTGTGCAGTTAGGCAAAACAAATCAACGCCACCTTCTTAAGAAGACCCCACCATTGCACCTCTCATATATCAATGATTTCTGTAGGTGTTCATTTAAGAGTTAGTGCATGTGATATTAAGCTTGCAGCTGTGGCCATCTGTGTTCAACTTTAGCCGGCGGTGGCCGTGTGATTACAGAGTACGTACCTGTTTCGCGTATTCTGGTATTACGAAACAGTATATGAGCCATAAAGCCATCAGGTTCATACAAATGCCAGCGAAGTCTCTGTAGCCAAAGCTACTTTGGTGCACGAAAATGATTGATATACGACTTTAGTCACCAGGTATAGCGAGTAGTACAGTGTTCAAACGTTTTTCGGGTACATGCTCAGTTGATCGAAATGATCCTGGAATGTCCATACTATTGTGCGCCCTCGTTATTCTGATTACCCACTCAGCCCGAAAAGGTAGCGGCAACCATCCACACTGTAGCATTTTGCCACTGTGATAAAAAATATCTCTCTGGGTCCACTCAATAAGGGCTCCTGGCATCACATCTGATATCCAAGACGTAATCCCAGACTCAAGTCGACGATCGTAGCGCTGAAGTTTAGGTATCAGAAACAATCGCCCGACTGACATTATTCAAAGTTTTAGAATTTTACTAAAGAGTCGCTCAAAAAGGGCAGTCCAGACAGAAAATCTTTTGGGAAGAAAACATAGTGCAATCGAATAATTCGCGGGCAGTATAGTGCAGCATGAACCAACGCCCATTTTAGTGAACACCTCAAAAAATGGCAACATTTATCATAACTGCACTTTCTGCATACTTCCGGAAGCGGATCCATACCTTATATTAGCACATACACTTTTGTGCATCGGCATTATATAGGACTGCACGCGGATGGAAGTTATCCCACTAGTTCAGGTCATCTTTTACAAAAATACCTTTAAATGTGGAATTGTTTCGTCCACAATCGTTCACAAGCATTTGTAGACAGAATCCGGTGTTTGTATCTGTTTAATCGTCACTCACAATGTGGTTCATTCTACCATTATTGCACCAGTTCACAGTGCCGCGTCGCTAGCCTTCCGATCAATGTGATGTTGCACGTAATTATGCATGCACGAACCTAAGCAAGAAATCGATATGACTTTGGACCGAGCAGTCGTTGATTAAACCAAGCTACTCCGTGGTGAAGAAGGTAACACAGGAAGGTAACACATCAAGCGATGGGTAAAATAAACAACAACAACGACAATGATTCAGTGGATTCGGGATTGGCGCAGTCATATCACCCATGATTTAAACAGTCGTCATTTACCTTCGGAGTCTTGGAAGATGATTTGAAAACACGTCGCATCACGAAGTTAAACGCCACTGAAAATCTTGGTCGCCCATTACAATTAGCGGAGCTGCTGACTGCGCGTTGTCGAACTAAAATCACTGTAAATGAACGTACATTTCCACACAAAACAAACTGTAACTTTTTATTTGCCATTTGGATTAAGGTATGTTACATATCATAGGTGTGCACGGAGCCCACAAAAACAACTCGGATCAGCAGCGGACAAGCGGCTTGGTTTTCAGCAAACAAAAACGCCTTCATTAGGAATTAAGATATTGTTCTAGAATTCACCCGCTGAAAGTAGAAACATCCGGGGTAAATTGATGGGTGTCGAAAATGGGTTTTGAACCGCAAGGTCAAGATCGCTTGCTCTAAATACATCTTATGGCTAAACATCCGTAATGGACCCGGCTGTTATAACCTGGTCCCGTGCACGAGGCTACTGCACAAATATTTACCCAGGGATTGTCCGATGGAAAATTTCGTCTGTTGTTGTGATAAAATTCTTGAAAACAAGCGAGAAAGATATTGTTCATTTCGTTCTATGAACATCTTGTTGATTCACCGATTCTCCGTTACTTTCCTTATTGAAAATGACCTCAAACACACCAAAGATTTCATCTCGCTACTTTGTTTGTTTGAAGCCATTTGTTTGTGTGGTACTTGCAACCGGTATTCACGAAATATTCGAAGTGTTTACATTGTGCGTCGGTCTTTACTGCAATGCGCCACCCAAAAGATTTCAAGCGGAGGACCCCTCTGCCGTCCTTTGACATCATCGTGGACTCTACCATAGCTGAATATTTACAGTCGGCACGCGGCAATATTACAGCTTATGGTACTAATACGGAACTAAACGCTGGGTACCAGTAACCCTATAATTTCTTAAATTATAACCGTATGCACGCGACTTTTTATATAAGGAGCCCAGAAATACCAGGATTTCTAGAGATTTGTCTTTTGCTTACTATTCTTGCGATGGTCAACATGCATTGTACGGTTGCTTGTTTGTGATTCGAAAATGAACTCGTGATTTTCAAGATGGTGTTATTCACTTTGGATGATCAGATATCCGCAAATCGCAGAAATACTAGGGCAACAGTTTCCTGGACCCAACGAACCATGCAAACGTATTCAAAGGAGTGACAGGGAACTTTGCGGACAGTTGGCAGCAGCTTCACTGCTAGCCATAAACTTGCTCTCATGCATCACTGGTTGTGGTAGAGATTTTCGTGAGCTTTTTAGGCGCAACAAGTCCTTAGTTTGCACGCAGGTTGCTATTTAAACGGAATTTGAATGTGGATGCGTAGGCTGATCGTAATTTTCTTTGCACTTTCGGGGCGGTGTTCAAACTCTGGATTACTATCGCTCTCTCCTAAGAAAGGCGTGGACTGATAAATCAGAACGAAAAAGTTAAATGGATGTCTTTTTGTTTTTACAAATTACTTGCATCACAGTATTTTTTGAACTAATCTTGACGTTTGCAGAAATTCACTCGGTTACAAAAATTCCCCATTGGATTATTCAAATGGAAGCTACATGTTATGCTATCATTGGTAAATCCAGATTGGTGATGCTTGCGTCGGTACCGGAATCTGTTTACCTATAGTGATACTCAAAGATATTGAGAGCATGGTCACAGACAGCATTTGTGAAATATATGTGTTGTGCTGAAAATACAGGTGGAAATTCACGTAGAGATTCACCGCAGAAAAAGTTAGGACAGACGCATATTTGTTTGAAAAGGCAAAAAATCCACTGCAATACAAAAAGATTGGTTGCCGAAATTGATAGTCATGTTATGTAAGATTTCCCTTGTGTCGAAGGGATAAAAACCTTCTGGAGCAAAACTACTACATCTACTTGAAGATAACCAGCATATGTAAAGCATCCAATTTGAAGAGTACAGTGCTGTGAAGGCATATAAATTATTTGCCAGTTATTTGCCGAACCACTGAAGTGCATGTTTCATGTTCTGCACAGCGCCCATAGATAAGCAACGAGGGAACTTATGTCAGGTGAATCATTCAAGGGACGTACATTGGTGCAGGGTATATTCAGACATATTAGGAAGGATAGCACCAAAGATCATGTTGTGTGTAGGCAAGCAAAAGTAGGCACTTAGCAGTCAAAACATTTTGGCCAGAAATAGCCTGCAGCCGCCCAGTCACCCACGAACTTGAGTGATCAGCTCACAGTCGCTCACCGGATCACCGGGTTGTTATAAAAAAACCACGTGACAATAGGCTGACTCTTTGGACACCGATTATCTGTACCGTCTAGCAAGCGTAGCAGCTACTCATGTGCTGACGCGCCCACGTACGCGCAAACAGACCTACATATAGGAAAACCGAACACCATCAGCACACAGACTCACGCGCGCGCAGTCCACAGACAATTATGGAACACGTGTAGCAGTCCTACTGCGGAGAAAATGGGTTTCCGCCGTCCGGACATCAACCAAGTCACTCTCAAATCCGATAAGTTCTCTTCTGACCTGCTATCATTTTCGCATTTTATCCATTTTTATACTTATTGACGCCCATCACCGTCAAACGTGCTAAGGTCTTTTATTAGTACATTATCAACAGTGCACTAATAAGCCTAAATTTGGAAGTTTTGCACAGAATGCTTCGTTTGCAAACCAAGAAATAACTAATTGTGGTGAACGAAATCTGACCCGCACGTGTGTGGAAGTCACATCTATTCAAAATGAAATAAAGTGGTGTGATTCAAGGTCGTAGGAATTAGTATAAAACCATGGATATGCGGGCGAAAGCACGAGAGCATCCACGGTGTCTTTTTAAACTGTTTGATATGGTGATCGTTGCCATGTTGGTTACGTTCTGCCACGGTAAGTTCTTTAAATTGCAGAAGTTTGCAATGCGTATGAACAATTTCAATGTACTCATTGAGTCATGTATTGCCTTACAGTACAAGGTTCCCTGACAAGGCGTATCCCAGAATACTACATATGCATGGGTGAGGATCATTAATTCAGTAATTTATTTTGATTTTTGTGTTGAAATATACATGCTGAAATTCATTCTCCAATAGTGGTAGTCAGTAAGAATGACGTTTTGCAGTGGCAACTCAGCCGTGAGGACCGTCTACAACGACGGGCCGGTGAATGCAGCTACTGCAAATATCACTCCTATCCACGAAATGTTTTTTACGTTTTTATGTCTAACCGATTTTTTGGACGTGGAATTATTTAAACAGAGAACTGTGGAGAAGATCCACTTGATATAAGTAAGTACCGAGTAGATTATCCGAGACCAATAATATTAAGCTCAACATTATTTGTGTAAATTTCGACGTTTTGCACTATGAATACGTGCAGTCATGGAAACTGTTTGACAGTAAATAAACCTAGTATAACCTAATATGAATGAATTTATGCTATATTTTAGTGCATTTAATTGCTAAGGGAATCGCAGTTACCAAGTTGCTCGCATGTGCATTTGCCGGAGTATTTGTTCGACCAGAATTGATAAGCCCAAAGTTTTAGGCAGTACAATCAGAAACATTTCTTTGGTGTTTTTAGAGTGTCCCATGATTGCCATATGTTTTTCGGGAAATTTGGATTCATTAAACGATACGCTTGACATCTCAGGAGAACCTTCAGGGCGGTATGATAGGTATTGGCGTTGGTTACAAAAACGTACCCTCCACCAACTAGCCTGTTGGCAAGCTATGGAATGAAACTGCTGAACAAGCCCAATTCTCCCTTGCCTCCTTGCAGCCTACGAAGTCAGTAGGTGCCGCGGTAAGTTCACTGACACCAGAGATACTGCGTTGATTATCCATGTGGCGCTCAAAAGGTTTTCTGAAAACCAAACGACATCGCTGCTCTGTTTGAAGCAGCGCTGCAGTTAAAACGGGGCTGATAACACAGGTGAATTGGAGAAGTATTTAAAAACCATTGACGATTTTCAAATGTTGAAGTAAACAGGAAATCAATAAGAGGATATATTTGAAAAAAATTAAAGCAGTGCGTGTGTATTTATGTTTATATATTTAGATAAATGCAATGAAGATGAACTGAAACGCTGCAAGGGTTTGTCAAAAATGCTTTTTGTTGATAAACGTTTTGCTGAGTATTTCAATACCTTGCAATTTGCTTTCATTTTGAAAAATCTAGTTTCCAGAATATCATGTGTTGCCAGACTTTTGCAATATCCAAAAGTTAATGTCACATAATTTGATCAAACTAAGTTGATTCATTCAGATAACTGAAGGCCAAGTTATTCTGAGTTACAACAAAAGCAAGGACTTTGCAGGAAACGGCTTACACAAATAATCATTTAGATGAATTCACCAGCAAAAAAACAAACGCATTTTTTATTCAGCCGAACACTTGGGTGACAGAATTGAAACAAGTATGTTGTTTTATAGCTCACTTCCTTTAGTTTTAAGCTTTTTTGTTGAAGCGTTAATTGACACTGAGTAAATAAACACTGAGAGCCAATTCTGGACACAACCAAGAAGGTTTTCATTACATGAATTCTGTTTTTGTGACAACTTTGAACTTTTTACAAATGACACGATATAACAACCACGAAAAACAGTAGAAAATGTCGGGACATTTAAATTTTTCGCTGCGAAAGCGAGCGCCTGTGATGAATCTATAAATATATATCTGCTTACTTCTTGAATCGACATTTTGTGTGCAGTTGTGTTTGCACTACATCGCATTGACTCGCATATTGGCTTTCGCCGTTGCCTAAACCAATCTCCTGAAAAAAGGGCCTCAAAACATATCTCCTTAAACTTTTGGAAACCGATAAAACCTAGGCGGATTAGGGTGACCGTCCGGTCGCTATCAATATTTCTGAGGATGCACAAGGTGTCGTCACTTCACTTGTCAAACGTTTTGTCGATCAAAGAAATTCAACACTCGAATTTGTTTCCATTATACGCAAAAAAACTTGCACCCCGCCCCGTCAATTCATAGAAAAGTGCTGGAAGATTGCTCTGGAACGTTGCATCGGTGAGCTGTTACATTTGTCACTTATAATGCAACATGTTCTATTTCCACGACTAAAGGATAAAAGTAATCGACATTCCGGTATCAAAGCATGTGTATAAAGTGCACACAAATAATTTATCATCTACTCCCATTACCAAATTTGAAACACAATTTTGACTACATCGTTTTATTAATCTATAGTCAACTGTGGCGAGGAGGTGGATTGTGTATGTGAGTTTGGTGAAACAATTCTAACAAGTCGAATAGTTAGTACCACTGCTGACCTCGTTGTTTTTTCCGGCATAATATCACAAACCCTAGCTATATTCATTTGGACTAAGAATAATTGTGCCGTCAATGGATTTCGGACACATTGGAATGTATGCAGAGAGCATAGAAAAAGTATCAAACGGAAATGACCAGCGTTATTGATGTTGCGAGAAGACAAACGCAAATTGGTATTTCCTAAATTATATGACTGCCTAGATTTCCTGCAAATGACTTGTGAGTTTGATCCACAATTTTTGACCGCCAATCGAAGAGGAGTAACTTTCAACTTCAAGCATAACTGGAAGCAATGAAACGTTTTCTGAGTTAAGCACCTTACTTCATCCGTAGTGAAGGCGCAGGATCATTCATTCACTAACACTCAACCAAGCAACGACATTCACTAATGAAAAAGACGCAAATAAAAAGTGAACATTTGCTTCCAAGTGAGTATTCAAAAGTTGTTATCTACTGTCTGTGCCTTGGAAAATATTGCCTCAACTATAGGTCGAACCCCACAAGATGTATCCGAATAAATTTCATATATGAATGTTTCTTGTAACAAGGCTGAATGTGATACACAATAGGGGAACGTGCTTGACCTAACAATTACAAAAGCCCCGTTCCTGCGTATGTGACACGGTTATAGGAAACTCCTATGATTGTGGGATAGCTTAGCACATAGGACTACCAAATAATAGCACTTCCCGCCTCTTGGTCAATGACGTTTGACAGCAGTTGTTACGGAGTTACAAAGAGAAGCACGGAGCTGACTCATGATCTCAGTTCAACATCTCTTCTCATCAGATATTTGGTGCTTACTCCTTGATGGATTTTTGGGGTTCCCCGCTCTGTTCAAACGCGCATTCTTTAATGTAGATGATCGTTTGCTTAGACCAAATTTTTATTAAACAGGAATAATTAAACATATCAACCTGAAGGCCACTATGAAGCCAATGATGAAGACGAATGCTGCTTTTTAAATTTTTAGTGTCGTGTCACGCATTTTACCCTTATGTAGGTGAGTGAACGTTTAGTCATCAAATTGTCGAAGAGTTTTCAGCAGACTTGTGAATAGTTTACTTTCAATACTGTTTGGAGACGTGAGCAGGTTGAGTTTCATCATCTTCCCTGAAAATTTAAGTGGCAACTAGGCGGCAAGCGAACTCCAGAATTCCAGTTGCGATCCTCAGGTAGCTTCATTGTACTTTCGTACCTCAGAAATGGATTGTGAATCCACGCATCTCGCTGAACGAGTAGCCTACTTTGCAAATTCTAGAACTATGGGTGTAACGGTGATACCACTCATCGGTAGGCACGCGAGTAGTATGTGTCGTTCGTAGGGTGTAACGTACCACTCATCGGTAGGCACGCGAGTAGTATGTGTCGTTCGTAGAATTTCACATTGGGTCGGTTGAAAAATGGAATTCTGTCTGTGAATTCGTGGGACCACTGTGGAACATTTGCTTGGATTTGACCAACGAACGTGTGGAGGCATCGAATCTCTAGGAAGACTCGTTCGGGAAAAGATCCGCGTCCACTTTTTGGAACTAAGATGCAGATTAGTGTTTTGCTTCCGTATTCAATGGTCTGTAATCGGTCAGTTGGCATTTCCGAATAAACAACTCCACAGCAAGGGCCTTCTTCCTTTCATTTGGTGCCGTGACCAGGATAAGGACGAAGATCCCGTGGCCGCAACCATTTGAGGAGGGGGATGTTCGGACCTTCCTGGAAGACTTTGAGGAGGTTGCGGAGGCTGCAGTGCTGAAGACCGACCGGGGTATGTTGGCAGCGCTGAAGACCCTCCTCAAGGGCCATGCGAAGGCGGCCCTGGATGCGGCCAAAAGAGGCCCTCAGAAATGGATTGGGCCGCCGCGAAGGAAGCCCTTGCAGCGGGGTTCGACACACCGGCCGACCGCCAGGAGACTATGAGGCGGTTCAAGACGGCCAGGATGGCACCCGGATCTGACACGACCGTGTTCTTCGCCGGCCTGCAGCAGTTGTTGGATCGCGCTTTGCCCACACTGGATGGAGTGTCGCGAAACCAGTTGCTGTCGGATCAGTTTGTCGAAGGTGTGCACCCCGCGCTTGGTGCCCAGTTGCGGTTGGCGCGAGCAACTGGCCAGTTGAGTGTGGAGGAGCTGGTGCTTCTGGCCCGGGAGCTGCCCCAGGAACCACTGGCCACGTTGCAGTCGCAGGAGAACAGGGATGCTGCATCAGTG